CTATCTGAAAACTTGAAAGACCACACTGAGGAAATTTTCAAACAGCAGCTGACAACCTCCCACATGTCCATTTTATCACTAGCCACAAATATGACAACATGCTGGGAGGAAAGGCATAATATAATCGTGATTTATACTTCTTGGCCAACATAAAAACACATCACACCAAACCAGATTTCCCCTTCACACCTGACCAGAACTTTTATTTTTCTTCCCAAAGCATAATGAACAATTCTGACTACAACTAAATTGTGACTATAAGCCAAGAGCCTGACCTTGTAGTCCAGCTCTTTTCAGTTAAGAAATTTATCTTTTTGGTGGGAATATTGTGAAAGAGGAGTTTCCTGTCAGTTCTGCACAAGACAGCTGGGCACTCAATTCGTTGAGGTTCTTAGACATGAGCAAAGGAAGCCACCTAAGTTAGCTTGGTTACAAACACTGCTACTGTCTGCACTGAGGAGGTTAACAGAAACTTGTTTGTCACTTCAAGAGACAAACTCCATTCAAACGGTGCTGATTAGGATGAGCCCATTTTATAGACACAGAGCAACCCAGGGCAGCAGGGAGATGGCCACTCTTTCTGGTCCTAACGCTTCAGCTGCTTCAGTGGCCCGGGCCACAGCCAGTTTTCTTTCACTTTCGCTTTGCAAAAGGCAGTTATTTCCTAAAGATCTGAACCCACAGTTTGAATTTTTCACCATGAGTGTGCATTATGTTTGCAATTTTACAATGAATTAAAGGAAAGTCAGTTATGGTTCTATTAATTTGAAGTTGTTCAATAAAACCTCACATAATTGAATCTAACAATTCCCAATTCAATTCCCAATCAGTCAGCATTCAGCTGTCCCCACTTTTAGGAGAAAGATAAGTGACAAAACAAAGCTGTTAGCAGTAATCCCATCTAAAACCACTACCTGAGTAGTGCTCTGGGCTCAACACACATTTAAGCCAATCTTTTCTACTTTATGTAGCTGTAATTTGGGACAATTTAAAATGTCTAAGAATGCCACTCTAACACTAGTACACCCTTTCCTGATCCTTAGCTCTAAGAACAGTTTCATTCCCTTGTGCTTACCGAGACGTGCTTCAAAAAGATTTTCCATGCTGGAGTCACATTTAACCCTGTGCAGTGATAAACGTCTACATACTCTTTGATACGCC